GCACGCGGGTTTGACTTGGATGACCCAGCGATCCCTAGACATCCTGACGAACGCATCGTGCAACCACCATCAGGAGGATGGGGATGCCCTGCATGTGCCGACAATGCCAACATGCACTCCCCATCACACAGCAGAAACCCTAAACGCTGTAGGTGGTATGACAAAGAGGATTATTATGGGGGATGCCAAAACTGCCAAAAGAAGTTGGGAGGCTAAGCCTTGCCGCTTACTTACACCTGGCAAATGCAAATACACCGAACCGTGGAAGCTGCCAGACAGCCGCGGCGGGCAGGGGCCACCAGCTCCTGCTGATCCGGCAGCTCCACCACCTGCGGCGGCAGCTGCTTCCGATGCTCCACCACCTGCGGCGGCAGCTGCTTCCGATGCACCGCCACCTGCGGCAGCAGCCTCTTCTGAGGCACCAGCCGCCAAACAAGATGCGAGGCTACGTGATCCGATGCTTGGCTTCAGAGCTGGACCGACAGCAGGCGCCAGCAGCCGCGACATCGCAGTAGGTAGACATGCTGCAGAGCCAAGTGGTGCCAGCAGCTCGGACGATCACAGACGACTGCCACAGGTAGTAGCCAGACCTGGACGACAGCAGGGAGGTGATCCACCTCCGCCGCCGCCTGCGGGTGACCCTGCTGCACGTCCAAGACTTCCAGACTGGTCAAGGTTTGACGTGCAGATCAGCCTACGGAACCTGCGCGGCCTCGGCCCAAGCGTGGTAATTCGCGAGCTACGAGAACTACATCTGCGATGGTTCCACGCCAAGGAGCTTAAGATGAGACTCATCTTAAGCAAGACTGGCCTGGGTAGGGTTAGGCTGAGCCTGATACAGGGCGTCTGCGATACATGCCGGGGGTGTAGGGCGTGGGGGGCCTGGACAGACCATAATGTCGTCTACCGCGCTACCTGGCAAGTTCAATGGTGGAGTCGAGTGCGACTTAATTTTCTACAAACAGGAACATAATGTATTTCACATAACTGATCCTTACATTCGATGCGGTGCTGGAATCGATATACCAGACAAAACTATGACCAGCATCCTAGATGCGCGCTGCCAGTGCTGAGTGCAATTCGGACCAGCCAACGTATTATACCCTGACGGAAAGTGCCCTCAATGACGACGCCGCGAAGGCTGTCCTTCAGGCGAAAGGCGCTGAGCTGAGAATGCGCGCGCGTGGGCAACGCGCTACTACCATTGAACACAGAAGTGGCATATTGCGACACCTGTTGCACGTCATGGGGGCTGAACTCATTCGGTTAGATATGCTACTTGTGTCCACCTGATTATTGAATGGGGCTTTGTTTGCCAGCAGGGTGTTTACCTTTTACAACAAGGTATGACCATATAACGCATTATGTGGCCGACAACCAGCTATGCTGCCCGATTTGCCTGTTCTAGATCACGAGCAACAACAGACGGAGACATCCGATGATAATCGGGAGCGGACCATTCGTCGTGTAGGCATCGAGGCTATCGCACAAGTCACAGCAACAGCAAAGGCAAGCCGCGCACTATGAACCAATACGACCGTCACTGGTCAGCGTTGCTATAATGAGGGTGATCTTGTTGACTACCATCGCCCCGCAACCACGAAACGCCACTGGGGTGGTTGGAATGGGCCTTTCCCGGTCGTGCGGAATGGCCCCGAAAGGGGTCGAGTGGTCGTGCGTGTTGGGCATCGCGATGTACAAGTCCAGTGCGGTGATGCTAGACGCTCGCTCTCTACATATTGAAGCTCTGAACACTCGAGAAATTGGCTCGGACAACGCAGCCGTGCGGACTGTGTTGGCCATCGTAGTCGGTTTGCCTGCGGGGAAACTTGCAATGACCTTCGGCTATCTCCCGACCGAAAATGGAGTGCTCCAAATGACGAGTGCGAGCCAGTTATCTCCGAAGGTGCACTCAGGCATTTAGATCTCCGGTATCTTATCAGAAACTTCTTCCGTATCGAAAACGTCAGTTGAGCGTATCCACGGGATATTTCCGGCAGCGTATGCTGAGTGTTGTACGCTGGTGCACTATGACAACTGCGTGAACCCAGGCGCTGCCCTAGACATCCAAGGTGTGACTGGATCAGCACACTCTAGAATCAGCCAGTGCCGTAAGTCCAGCAAACCACGAGAGGGCTTCGCTCGAGACATGGCGAAGGTCGAGGAACTGGCAAACATGCCAGCACAAGGTAGTCATGCCAGGGAGGCCCCAGAAGCCGAACCACCACATGAGGGCGGCTGGCTTCTCACAATCTACGAGGAATCAGAGGCTGACCTCGAGGCGCGCATTATGGAAGTGTGGTGTGCAGAATTAGAAAACGAAAGGGCACTGCTGGATACACCCCAGTGGAAGCACTATATTTTGCACCTACACATATGATATGACAACAGCGCGCTGGCCACAGTAGCTGAAGAACAAGGGCACTTGCCTACGTGGGGTAACTCGCAGGACATCCACGCAACCGAGACATATCATGTCCCATTGTTCCACGGGCGACGATGACAGTTATGGGTTCGACTCCGACGAGCACGGGCAATATGTGGAGCTCTGCTTTTCGGCAGGGATGTCGAAGGAAGTCTTATCCGAACATCAACGTAGGGTTTTGGGCGTCGACCGTGTAGTCGCTGAGCTGCATGTAAGTGCATGTGTATATGTGACCGCTGCAGCTAAGCGACCTGTGGTCGTCATGGAGAGCGACTTCTTCGCGGAGGCAGATACTCAGGCGAAACCAGTCAAGGTATCGAATACCCCATATACTGAATTCAAGACACGGTTCGAGAACAGGTGTTCCAACGTGCAATATATAGCCATGGCGTCAAATATCATGTCTTCGAGAACGTGCCATCGGGTTGCGCTTGGTACTTCCTGGCTTCGTGGACCTCGGAGCTTCCGCTGCAGACGCGTTCTCAGGAACAGCGCGGCGGTCGAGCCAGCGATTGCTCGCAAGCGCGGCTGCGTGCCGGAAGCAGTGGATCGTTGCTTCGCTTGACATCGATGTGGCCTTTTTGAAGGGGCTCGCATATCAAGAGCTGGCTAAAGCGACTGGTGAAATGGAACGCGCGGCGCACATCGCCTTGCTTTTTGGCCCAGCATCACGATGAGTCAAGAGTCAAGACGCTGTCTTTAGTGCCTTATACGAGGCCCTGGTACTAAAGATGCACCAGTAACCTTTTCACTGAAACTCATACCATGAGGGGCTTTGGATTCAGACCCACGTCTTACGACGAGGAGTTCGAGACGAGCTCCAACCTTCTCACTGCCAAACAGGTTGATTATATAAACGTGGCCGGTGCTGAGGACGCCATCGGCGAACGCGTTTCTGGGGAATGTAAACTCAGCGAGCATATACCATCTATGCTGTGAGGTATGCTAAGGGCAGCGGCGGCATATGTTACCCTTGACCAAACCGAGTGCGTAAAACAGCTCCGTCCTGCCCAGCACCGCGAAATCGCGGGGGCAGATGCTGAGACCAAAGCATCGAAAATGGTCACTGACATGTTTTTTAGCTTCAGAAGCCCTTTGATTTACGCCCTCATCACACAAGTATGGTTCATGGTAGATGTTGTATCGCTACAGCGAGTCCACGAACCGACCAACAATCATGTGCGACGACTCGACGCGATTGCCAGGAAGTTGCAGGCCTGCCCGGAGAAGACCGTTTATAAAACGATGACACCAACGGGCGAGGTAAATCTGTACAGCGACTCCGGCTATTGTCGCCTGGACGGCGATACCGACGACCAGGTCAAAGGCTATGGTATTCGCGGGGCAAACTTGCTGGGGCGTGGACACATACCTGCTGGTAAGCCTATCGTCCATCTTGTCGACGCGCACTGCAAGTCTCACCGCCTGCATGTCCGCTGTAGCGCTTCGACTGAAGCACTAGCAGCCGCCATATGTTGGAGGACTGTTATCCCACGATTGTCACGCTACATGAACTCCACGCAGGGCCGCTGACACCCATTCAAGTGAAGGATATTCTCGATATGGGCGGCTTCAGCATTAAGGTCATCCTGACCGTTGATGCGGAATATGTCTTCAAGACCTTGTCAAGCAAATACCATAAGACACCTGCTGAATGTACCTCCTGGGTCACGTCCGTTGGATACGGCAAATTACGGAGCGCGGCATCGTGCATACCATGCACTGCTACAGAAGGTCACACCAATGAGCATTGACCGAGATCTGCTCTTACAAGTTATGGAGGGAAGGCAATCCTTCAACCACGATTTGAAGCGACGCACTCCCTACAGAGCTGGCCAGACGAAACCATCTGAGTCGCCCGAGGAGTAATAAGCTGCGGGGTAACCTGCCAAGGTTGAGCCTGCTGGCTTCTGCCTTTCCTTTGGTCACGTAGCTGCTTTGTCGGATTAAACCGGGCGCGGACTCGCGTTTCCTCCGCCGGACTCTGAAGGACGAAGGGCAAAGGCGAGAGGGATCGAGCGTTTGTTTGCGGCCGCTTGGGTTCAAACGACCGGCCGCCAATTTGACCTGGTCGCATTGCGGTCCGCTATCTGACATCGATACGGACAAAACTCATTTGAGATGTCTGATTGCCCCCCACGCGGCCATCTCCTACCTTTTGCTCCATCGTTACTGCGATACAGCAGGGTTGGGCTGATACTACGCCTAAGGCGTAGTATTTGGTTGGGTCTCCCTCTTCACTTTTTTGGAGGTCCGTGCGGATTTGTTGGATCGGCGTTGGGCCACCCTGACGGCGCCTCCGGCGCCGCCCCTGGCGCGCTCCGCGCGCTTGGGTATGCTCATACCGTGTATGTTTCCTCAAAAGATGCTGTGACCACACCGTGTGGTGATCCAGAGTGGATGTCGGGGTGATTTCACGAATTTTGGGGCCGGGGTTGTTCTCCAAGGATGTCTCTGGAGATTGGGGCCTCCAGGGTCCCGACGCCGTTGCGGGGACGGACCGTGCGGGGAAGTCTCCCGGCATTTCGAGGTCACCGCACGCCCTGTCACCGCATTGTCTTGGGACCTCCAAGAGGCCCGGGACTGGGTCGACGCGCACGTGGACATCTACGTGCTCAGCTTACCGAGCGAGCGGCGGCGCTGGCACTCAGCATCGTCTAAGCTGTTCCCATCCCCACTGGGCCATGGTTTTTCAGCCCCACCAGCCAACCCTCCTGGATGGGGATAGGCCTCGCTAAGCCAGAGGACTAGGTCATGCAGCTCTTTTTTGGTGTTTTTTGCTCCCTTTCTGGACCCCCGATTTCGATGTTGAGTCAGTCGCGGCCGACGGCGGAGCAATCGAATCGCGCGGCGCTCCACGTGAACATTGAAATTGAGGGATGCGGGCAGACGAACCGCGAGCGAGAGTTGTCTTACCATGTTCCAGGGTAGTGTGGGTGGGTAAGTCGGCCAGTGGGGCCAAGGCGACGCCAGTGGGGACAGGGATCGCTTAAACGATGCCCAGGCACAACATGCAGGCCCGGCTGCGCCGGCTCGGCCTAGACGCCTCGCTCGTGCCCGGCGTAAACGCGGGCGACGCGGACGCGCTGCAGGCCGCCTTCGAGGAGGGCCTGATCCCGGAGGGCTACGACCTGCGCGAGGCCCAGGCTGCGGCCGAGCCGACCATCTCGGGTGTTGCCAGAGGTGTCCCTGGCCCAAGGCCCAGACATGCTCGCGTGGCGAAGGAATTGCGACGGGGGGCTTTTGGCAGTTTTCGGCCTCCCGTGGCCCTCGTTGGAACCAGGGACCATTAACAAATTCACCTGCCAAAGGACCTAGCCATATGCAGTTGTGAGCACCGCGGTTGTGAGTATCGTCTTCGGTGGAGCTCTCTATTGAGCGACAAACCATGTGAAGGTTGTGTCGAAATGCGGAGGACGCATGCGAGCACTGCCACTGGGGCGCGGAGCTCCCTATGGAGCCACGAACCGTTTGAGGGGAGTGACGGTGTGCCGCAATGGGTGCGCGGGACGCATGCGAGAAACGCCATTGGGATCCTGGGTGGAGCTCCCCATGAGGCCACGAAACGTGTGGCGGGTGTGCTGAAGTGCGCCTGGGTGGAGCTCCCCATGAGGCCTCGAAACGTGTGACGGGTGTGCCGAAATGCGTGGCGGGGACGCATGCGAAAGTTGCCACTGTGACCTTCGGTGGAGCTCCCTATGGGGCCACGAAGCGTGTGAGGGGTGTGCTGATATTGGTGGCGGGGGGCGCATGATGCCCGATCGCCAGAGCAGCAACCTCTGCCCAGCTGCCGACGCAAGAAAAGTGTGCTGAAATGCGTGGCGGGGACGTAAGCGAAAATTGCCATTTTGACCTTCGGTGGATGTCCCTATGGGGCCATGAAACGTGTGAGGGATGTGCCGAAATTTGTGGCGGGGACAAGTGCGAACGGTGCCATTCCTGGGTGGGGCTTCCTATGGGGCCACGAAGCGTGTGAGGGCTGTGCTGAAATGGGTGGCGGGGGCGCATGCGAACGCTGCCTCTGAGACCTTCGGTGGAGCTCCCGTGGGGCCACGAAACGCATGAGGGGTGTGCCGAAATGCGTGGCGGGGACGCATGCGACTGGGGCCATTGTGATCTTCGGTGGAGCTTCCTATGAGGCCACGAAGCGCGTGAGGTGTGTGTGTGTGTGTGTGTGCTGGCATGATGCCCGATCGCCAGAGCAGCAACCTCTGCCCAGCTGTCGACGCAAAAAAAGTGTGCCGAAATGCGTGGTGGGGACGCATGCGAACGGTACCACTGTGACCTTCGGTGCATTTCCTTGTGGGGCCACGAAACGTGTGAGGGGTGTGCTGGTATCGGTGGCGGGGACAAGTGCGAACGGTGCCACTGTGACCTTCGGTGGAGCTCCCTTTGGGGCCACGAAGCGTGTGAGGTGTTTGCTGAAATGGTGGCGGGGGCGCATGCGAACGGTGCCACTGTGACCTTCGGCGGTGAAGCTCCCTATGGGGCCACGCAACGTGTGAGGGTGTGCCGAAGTGCGTGGCGGGGACGCATGCGAACGCTGTCACTGTGACCTTCGGTGGATTTCCCTATGGGTCCACGAAACGTGTGAGGGGTGTCCCGAAATGTGTGGCGGGGGTGCATGCGAACGGTACCACTGGGATCTTGGGTTGAGCTCCTTAATGGGCCACGAAACGTGTGAGGGACGCATGTGGGATGCATGCGAACGGGGCCATTGGGATCTGGGTGGGGTTTCGTATAGGGAGGGCCATGGGACGCGTGAGGGGTGTGCCGAAATGCGTGGCGGGGATGCATGCGAACGGTGCCTTTGTGACCTTCGGTGGAGCTCCCTATGGGGCCACGAGGCGTGTGAGGGGTGTGCTGGTATTGGTGGCATGCGAACGCTGCCACTGGGACCTTCGGTGTAGCCGCGAAACGTGTGAGCGGTGTGCCGAAATTTGTAGCGGTGACCCATGCGAACGCTGCCACTGGGACCTTCGGTGGAGCTCCCCATGTGGCCACGAAGCGTGTGACTGGTGTGCTGAAATCTGTGGCGGGGGTGCATGCGACCTCTGCCACTGGGACCTTCGGTGCTCCCTATGGGGCCATGAAACGTGTGAGGGGTGTGCTGACATTGGTGGCGGCGCATGCGAACGCTGCCTCTGGGACCTTCGGTGGAACTGTCTATTGCGCCGCGATGCGTGTGAGAGGTGTGCCGAAATGGGTGGTGGGGACGCGTGCGAAAGCTGCCACTGGGACCTTCGGTGGAGCTCTTGAATGGGCCACGAAACGTGTAAGGGGTGTGCCGAAACAGGTGGCGGGGACGCATGCGAACGGTGCCACTGGGACCCTGGGTGGAGCTCCCTATGGGGCCCCGAAGCGTGTGAGCGGTGTGCCGAAGTGCGTGGCGGGGACGCATGCGAACGCTGTCACTGGGACCTTCGGTGGAGCTCCCCATGTGGCCACGGAGCGTGTGACGAGCACGCTCAAATTGGTGGCGCTGCCACTGGGACCTTCGGTGGAGCTCCCTATTTGGTCACGAAGCGTGTGAAGTGTGTGCCGACATGCGTGGCGGGGACGCGTGCGAACGGTGCCACTGGGACCTTGGGCGCAGCTCCCCATGGGTTCCACGAAACGTTTGAGGGGTGTGCCGAAATGGGTGGCGGGGACCCATGCGAACGGTGCCACTGGGACCTTCGGTGGAGCTCTTCTGGGGCCACGAAACGTGTGAGGGGTGTGCCGAAAGGGGTGGCGGGGACGCGTGCGAATGGTGCCACTGGGACCTTCGGTGGAGCTCTTGAATGGGCCACGAAGCGTGTGAGGGGTGTGCCGAAATGGGTGGCGGGGACGCATGCAAACTGTCCCACTGGGACCCTGGGTGGAGCTCCCTATGGGGCCACGAAGCGTGTGAGGGGTGTGCCGAAAGGGGTGGCGGGCACGCGTGCGAATGGTGCCACTGAGACCTTCGGAGAAGCTCCCCATGCGGCCACGACACGTGTGAGGGTTGTGCTGGTATTAGTGGCGGGGGCCAATACGAACGGTACTGGCGGGGGCGCATGCGAACGGGGCCATTGGGATCTTGGGTGGAGCTCCGTAGAGGGCCATGGGACGTGTGAGGGGTGTGCCGACACGTTTGGCATGCGGAGGGCAGAGGTAGGGATGTGAAGAGGGAGGAGGGAACAGCCGGAGGAGGGAGGGTCGCGCGGCGCTATCTTCTCCAAAGCGAGCATCCAACACCACAGCATGGATGGAAACTACTCTGGATGGGACTTCCTGGGCCCGTGTCTTGAAATTATTGCGAAGGGCTCATGGCCGGTACCGCCGACCCTGCAGACGGAGACGACGAGCAGGACAAGGACGTTGAGGAGCAGGAGGCGGAGAACGTCAGGGAGCAGGAGGGGGGACGAGGAAGAGGAGGAGTATGAGTATGAGTATGAGTATGACCATGTGACAAAGTCAGCTGTGCCAACCTTACGTGACGAATTACACATGAAGGCATGACTATACACGACCACGGCTCAGGTTCTCACGTGCACTTAAAACCTTAGGCCATAGACCACGCGAAATCCGATCGAGATATACAGCTCGATGAGTGGTGACACGCTTGGTACAGGCCTTGCCAAGTTCACGTAGGACCTCGGAGGCAAACGAACCGCATAACTTACAATACCAGAGTTTAAGATGTGTATGATACTGCATGGCATGAGATTGATCCACCCACCCCCCCGCTATGTGCAGACGAGCCTGGAGGGGGCTTATAAAGGATGGATCCATTATAGTTGACGGGCTGGAAGCATTCTGACTGGCGCCACTTGGTTGCAGCAGCCTTGCTGGCCGAGCCTCCACAACAAGTACACCTCCTCCCACTCTCGTCGAGAGCGTGAGAGGTAGAGAAGAGGGAGAGGGCAGCAGCAGAGGGGGGACGGGGGACGGAGGAGGATGATGCTTTTTCCTGAGCGCCAGGGGCCGCATCGGCCTCCATCGCGTCGATCGTCGCCCTCAGCAGGCGCAACCGCACAAGCCTCGCTCTCCGCTCATGAATGAGTATGCGCTGGCGGAGAGACTCTGGCAGACGAGCAACGCTGGCCGCGGCTCCTGCCACGACATCAACAACCGTGTTGCCAGTGACCGCCCATCTCGGAGCAGCCCCAGCCTGGATCTCCGCACCCCCGAGGTGGGAGTTCACGAAAATCAAAGAGACTGAGTTGAAACCACGCTCCTGAATGAGTTGCCCGAGCTGAGCCCACAGGTCCGCGTCATGCCCGCTCGGACACTCGAAACGCCTGGCGTACCAGCCTTTGATGACAGGCTCGCAATCTGTGACATACGTGATGCAGCCGCTCGTAGCCCAAACAGCTAGAAGCAGGCTCCTCAGCTCTCCGCGGGGGACAGCTTGCCTGTCACCGCAGAGTGGCCCAGTGATGGTCCCAGCTATGGACACTGTGGGCTCCAGCTCATGGAAAAGTGCGATGGCACACCCGATGCGACGAAACTTGGTGACAGCAGTGTCGGGGCCACCACTCGCGTCGCCAAAGAGCAAACGAGGAGCTTGGTCCGTACCATGTCCGAGGCATCCTGGGCCAAGCTCAAAAGGACCTGTCACAACCCAGGCCTCCTCGCAGGCAGGAGGTGGCGCGGCTACCCAAGGGGTAGGCAGCAGCCCCCTTAGCCAAAAAGCAGGCTCAGCCTCCGCTTGCACAGTGGCCTGGTACACACGATCCTCTGTCATGGTGTACGCCTCCTTATTCGTGTTAATTGCACGTCCAAAAGCGATGGAGAGGCGTCTCAGGCTCAAGCTGGCATCGAGGACACTTGTCGGTGCCAGCAAAGCGTGGGATCTCAGCCTTCTTCCTTGTACGCGTCCACGTGCTGCCAACTGCGACCGACAGCATAACTTCACTCAGCCGATGACCGATCTGTGGCACGTCATGTAATTGCTGGATCAGAACACGATAGCAGTCAACATCAGATCCGTCCTGCAATCCTTCACCACAGTGGTGCCGACTAACCTGCTGCCAGTACCGTCGCTGCAGTACCCCCGAGAAATCCTTGAGGAAACCTGCATGACTGTCCAGAGCCTTCACTCCAGTGTACATCGCATCATCAAATCTCCACTCGTCACCAGCAAACTCATGAGGCTCAGGGATACCCCACCCAGTAGCCGAGGATACAGACCAT